GCAGGTTTGGGCTGAGCAGTCACCCCACAGAGACACTTCATGGTAGTTTGGTCTCTGGAGGCCTTGAGCAGACTATAGCTCTGTTTATAGTTTATTCTCAATATAATAATGCTTGGAGAACCACCTGCTTCTTGCCCTCCTAGGCCTTAGGCCAGGCCACCACCCAGCTCTCTGGCCATCCACTGCCTTCTGCCTCCTGCCTTCACAAGGGCCCCTCCTTCCCCAAGGCTGCTGCCATGCACACCCCCCCACCATCACAGATTATCCCACACAACTTGGATTGTTTTCTATTTTCTTGCATGTGGAACTCCTCAGGCCTGGAAGACATTTAACCATCTGTTGCCATTTGCTGTTCTGGGGCTTTTCACTTGCTAAAACTTTGGTGTCTCTAACTAGACAGTGGGTTCTTCTCAGTCCTGTCCTTTCTCTGCTGCTTCCAGGGGTAGACTGGAAGGGTTCGGTGAATGCAAGAATGACTGTGTGGCGATGTCTCCAAGCTGAGCTGTGCAGCCCAGGGAGGCTAAACTGCTGTGTGGCTTCTAAATGGATTGTTCTCATCCCTGACTCTGAACTTCTTCTGGAAGAGAGTCTGCCTGGGGCCCTGCAGCTCTCCATCCTTAGGACCCAGATGAATGAATACAGCATCACCCCCCTCCTCCAAGTCTCAGATTAGCCATAGGTATCTAGAAACTCCATCCTGAGCACCTACTGTGTGCTCATGCCTGGCAAGAGAGGATGCAGGGGACAAAGAGGGGCCAGATTGCTGGGCTCCTGCCCTCCACCAGTTCACAAACTAGATGGAGCGAGAAAATTTATACGCCGGAGAGCCAAAGCTGGTCTCAGGGTGAGTGGCCATGGCTGGGGCCACAGACTGTGGTTCAGTGGGTGCCAGAGAGAGGAGAGGGATGGTGGCTCCGCTGAAGGGAAGCTGGATACAAAGAGGGCTTCCTCCTCCCTTGAGGGGGAGGAGCAAAGGGAAGTGAGGAGCAGGAGGCAATGGTAAGACCTGCAAAACTACACCATCTGAGCCAAGATCCCCACCACACAGGGCTTCCTGACATCCCTAAAGATGAATCAGCAACAAAATGTAAACCACAAACACAGAAAATGAGAAGCAATTGTTCCCAGCTCCTTCTTCCATTTGCCAGCCTTCTCTCTCTCTCAGTGGATGAAATAATTGTGGCCATGAAGTGGCACTTGAAGAAAAAGTTTTAAATCTGTTTAAATGTCACAGTGAGTAATACGTTGCCCCCATCTTTCCCTAGTTACATTTCTCTTTGATGATCTAAGGTTAAAAAAAAAAAATTAGCTCAAGTCTTTCTAGAATATCAAGGGCAAGGATACCGGAGAGGCAACCTAACTACGTTTCTTACTATTTTCTTTGGGGTCCTGCTCCTTTATTGCATTAGTTTGAAACACCTGTCTGTGTTGTTTTCTCCCCAGTACTCTGCCGTGCCAGAGCAGTGGGAGCCTAAGAGATTCAGCTCTGTGCCTTTAAGAGATCAATGCCTTGGGAGAAGCTGTTTCTGCCGCTGTTAACACAAGGTAGCTCAGTTATATGGGGCCTGGTGTCCTGGTGGCTTCTACCTCAGCAATGTGGGGAGAGGTGGGGCACTTTACCACATGGTGCCAGAGAGCTGAGAGGTGAGGAATGTGTTACCCCTTAAGGCGAGACAGTCCAGATCCAAAATAAGCCATCCTCAGGTGGGAGAAAGGAGAGGGTGAGGTACCTTCCCTAGGGAAGAAGGAGCTCTCCACAGCTTTGGGTCCACATGTGGAGAGACACAGGGAGAGGGGGCTGTGGTGCAGGAGGCAGAGATGCAGTCCTGGAGGGAGCTAATGCTATACCTTATGGCGGCATTTTTGCAGGCATCCGAAATAACCAGATGCCCCCTTCCATTAACAACTCCACTCTCCCACTCACTCCTGCCCAGGGACTGCTTTTATTTATGTATTGGCTATTATTATTAATAATAATATGAATAATGAAACACCTGTGAATAATTTACTTGGAACTGGGCGGGGCTGGGGTCTAGGCAGGAAGAAGTGGAAGATAAACCACAGCTGCCCTCTCCTGTGCTGGCCCCTCCTCTCTCAGCCCCCTACCCCCACCCCAGTTCACTTCCTTCTCTTGCCCCACACCTAGCTTTGCTTTAAGGAGGTGGCAGGCAGGGAGAGAGGGAGGGAGAGAGAGAGAGAGGGAGGGAGAGAGAGAGAGAGAGAGACCTCAAGCAGGAATTACTCTCCTAAACTCCCCCGTTATGGCAGAAAATACATCCCACTCCATTGTGAGATCCTGAGAGGTAAGCACCACAAGATAATGTTAGAGGAGATATTTGGACAAAGATACTGGCCCCCTGCTGATGTGTCCTGAGGAAAAGAGGAGGAGGAGGTCTCAGACTGGTGGGTACACACACACACACACACACACACACAGCCAGAGTGTGGATACAAACGGTGTATGTGCACATCCACACTGCACCCACAGAAGCACCCACAGTCCTCATTAGACATAGGCACACGCATCTCCAAGCCACCAGCTCAAACCCTCCGTGTGCCTACTAGGGACATGCCACCTTATTACAGCACTTCATAGGCACACCACGCACACAGCTACGTTGCAGAGAGGTTCTATGTGTGAGTTTCTGTTCGATTCCATCAACTTGGGCGATTCTTAGGCCGTCCTATAACATTGGATAATATAAGCCCAGAACCGAGTTATGAATCAACTATACTTACACACGATTCCATCAAGAAAAGACAGGAGAATCTTAAAATGAAAGGATGAAGTTCCACAGCTCTCAGAATTGTACTTGCTGTTTGGTCACTCGCCCTGGATCCTCAGGGAGAGGTGTCCCAGGTGGGCTCGGGGCCTGGGGCTGCGAACCTCGGGGCCTCCTCAGGCCTCCTCCTGGCGCTGGAGAGCTCCGCGGTTGTGGTTGTACCAAACGGGCTTGGTCTCGGTTTTCAGGCAGCTGGGGTCTCATTTCTTTAAATAAAATTGTAAACATATTGTCTAATAACGTCATGTAATCCGAGGGCAAGAAAAGAGAAACCCAGAACACCCGAAGGGGGCCGGTGGGGGTCCGGCAAGGGTCAGGCCGGCAGCTCAGCCCCAGCAACTCGCGGGGGAGCGGGAGCGTTACTTTAATTTGCCCGGCTTCTGAAGCCATGGAGAAGAGGCTGCCCTGGAAAAGCAAACGTGGGAGAGGATGAGGGGCAGGTAAATATCATTAAAATGAAAATCTGCTTTCCCACCCCAAGTTCACCACCAGCATTCGCCCCCAGAGGCGGGGCTGCTTCGACCCGGCTCCCGCGCCGGCCACTCCCTCTCCTGCGCGGCCGAGGCTCTGGCCCCGGCGGGCCTGGTGGGGAACCCGGCAAAGTCGGGCAGGGCGGCCGGACCCTTGGCTCCAGCCCGCAGATGAGACTCCGAGCCTCGCACTTCTGGCGAGGGAAGCGCTGCCAACGAAGCTCGCGGGGGCAGCGCACGCCGCGCGAGTCTGGGTCCGGCCGCAGCCCGGATAGCGATTCGGGGGCTTTATTTCTTTGATGGTGGATTAAGAAAAAAAATTTCAGTTTGAACCGGTATAAAGCAGACGAGGGCCAAATCAAGCCGGACCCTCGCGCTGGCTCAGCGACCCGGCACGGCACCCAGATCCCTGCCTCCTTCCACGGCGGGCGAGCCGGCCGAGACGCTCGGCTCCTACCTGCCTCCCGCCAGCCGTTTGCCGGACCAGCCGCCGCGCTTCGGGATGGGGAGGCCGTCCGGGACCGAAACACCCACCTCTAGCCTTCGCAGGCGGGCTGGGACGAGGGTCGGGCCCCAAATCTCTACGCCTCGTCCACCCCCCACCCCCATCCCCAGCGAGGCCCCACTGCTCCCCCGGTTCCGACCTCCCAGGTGGCTCGGGTGGCGGCAGATGCCTTGCGAGAGGGCGAAGATTTGGGGCTGCTCTGGCAGGTTGGGGATTCGAGGAGGAAAAAAGCAGGGAGACACGGAGAGAAAGAGAGCGCGCGCGAGAGAGCTCTTGTCTATAGATTTATCCACATAATATATATTTATGTAGCTTTTTTTCTCTCGACACTGATCAATGCGCACTCGGATCGCTGGGCGGACTCCCTCCAAGCCGACTCGCTTTTTCTAGTCTAAATAAATAAATAAATAAAGGGAACCAGATGGGAGGAAAAAAGCGCCCATTCCACCTCCACCGCCGCCTTCGCCGCCGCCCCGCCCGCCATCCCTGCCTTTGCTTCGCCCGCCTGGCGCCCTAATAGAGCGCAGCTCGGTGGATAACGCCCCCCCCCCCACATACCCACACGAAAATGAAAACCAATGTTTTAAAAATACAAAAAGTTGCACCTGCTGCTATTACAGAAAAGAACCCCCAAAAAGCAAAGAGGAGGCCAGCAGCCCCGTTCCTAACGGGCACCCGCTCCCCGCGGCCGCCGGGCCCGGAATCTCAGCGCCTCCCGAAGAGCCATGCGCCTGGCGCTATTTATAGCCGGGGGCTGTCTCGGACTGTACCACCGCGGCTCGCCGGGGCCGCCGACGGGGGAGGCGCGGCGGGGCCGGCGCCGCCCCACGCGGTCCTGCTCCCGGCCGCCGCCCGCCGCCGCGAGGGAGCCCCCCCGCATCTCGCCCTCTCCGGGCCCCGCGCCCCCCCCCTCCTCCGCGCGCGCTCACTCGCCGCCCCCACCCCTGGTCTGACTGGGAACTTGAACCGGTCCAGCCTGTTTAAACGGAAAGGACAGAGATCCTGTCTGTTCAATGTAAAAAAAGAAAGAAAAGAAAAAAAAAAAGAAAGAAAGAAAGAAAGAAAAGAAAAAGAAAGAAAAAAAAGAAAAGAAAAAAATCAGATCAGACTGGAAAAGAGAGAGAGAGAAAGAGAGAGAGGGAGAGAGGAGAGAGGGAGGGAGAGAGAGCGGGGAGAGGAGAGAGAGAGCGCGAGCGCGAGCGAGCGAGAGAAGAGAGGAGAAAGAGAGAGAGCAGAGAGCGAGAGGAGAGCGAGGTGTAGAGAAACCGAGGGGGAGAGAACCCGAGTGTGTGTATGCGTGTGCGTGTGTGAGCGCGAGCGAGCTTGCGAGGGAGAAGAGCGAGAGAGTGCGAGCGAGAAAGAATAAAAGGAAAGAAGATTTTCTCTATGTATATAAAGATGGCCACGTTAGCAAACGGACAGGCAGACAACGCGAGCCTCAGTACCAACGGGCTCGGCAGCAGCCCGGGCAGCGCCGGGCACATGAACGGATTAAGCCACAGCCCGGGGAACCCGTCGACCATTCCCATGAAGGACCACGATGCCATCAAGCTGTTCATTGGGCAGATCCCCCGCAACCTGGATGAGAAGGACCTCAAGCCCCTCTTCGAGGAGTTCGGCAAGATCTACGAGCTTACGGTTCTGAAGGACAGGTTCACAGGCATGCACAAAGGTGAGTGCACCTTTCCCTCCCAACTTTGCCGGGGAGAAGGAGCGGGCGGGCCGGCCGGCCGGCCGGCGACGGACGAGCGGGAGACGGCGCGAGAGGGAGCCTCGGGCGGACGCCGAGGAGGGAGGCGCTCGGGCAGCGGAGACCAGGACTGGGGTGCGTGGGGAGCTGTTCGCTGGGGCAAGGCTGGGTTTTGGGCGAGGAGCTGATAGAAGCGGTGCGGTGGGGAGAGGAGCGGAAGCAGAATATGGAGAGAAAGAGAAGATCGAGGGGAAACGGGTCTTGGATTTTTTGGGTGCAGCGACTTGAAAGACTGGGACGGGGACAGCTGCACCGGCCGAGCCCGGGACGCTGAGCAGACTGGCGGGCGCTCAGCGGGCCGGGGACCGAGGGTGCTGTCCATCGCCGTGGTGCTGAAAATATTAAGAGATGGTCTCCTCCTTCCCTGCTCCGGGCCAGAGTAGCAGGCGCGCAGCCGTCTAAAAAGAAGAGAGGTGACAAATTCAGAGAGATATTTTTATTTCGCTATCAATTTAACAGAAACTCTCCCTGTCGAGCTATGTGCCTCAATAATCCGGTTGTGGTGTGAGTGGTGGGGGAGGGGGTGTTTGATGTTTAAAGGAAGGAGGGACAAAACCCAAGACAAGAATTAGCAAGGAACCAGCCATCCCCTGGGTGGAGTGGGGGGTCGGGGAAGCCTGAATGATCCCCTTCTCAGGAAAGCGGAGCTTTGAGGGAAAAAAATCCGTGTGTGCAAGATATGCATTTTGAAGGGTGTAGCCTAAATTATCCCAAACTCACCATGCAGAGAGCTTATAGTACATTATTTCTCTCTCTTGAAGCAATCATTGCTAGTGAGTGCTTGGGGGAGGGGGAGACAGAATAATCAAAGAATTAAAACCCAGCAACTTTTTAGGAAAGTGGTCATGAGAATTGTCTGCAGGCTGCCTGTTTTCTCCTTGTTTTATTATCTTTAAAGCAGATCCCCAAACGTGTTCAGTTGTAGAACGTGTGTGGGTGGCTGGTGGGTGACGAAATTAGCCCAATGCTCCGCTCTCTAACAGTAATGTATAGGATGTGCAGTGGGGATTAATCTGGGCTGGAGCTGTGTGGGCAAGTTAAATGCTTTCTGAGAGAGATTGATCGTCAGGCAGGGAAGGAGCACCGGGCTAAGGAAGTTGTAAGGGATGTGTATGGACGTTCCGTTTTTAATAAACAGTAGTGTGGAGAGCCACTGAAGATGCTGTGTTAGAGCTGGTGGTTTTAAAGATGAAAACACACACACGCACACGCACACCCACCCACACACAGAGAGCAGCCTCATCCTTGGCCACAAATGGGCTATGAACAGAGCTGATCCTCCGGCACATTAGGTGCAGAGCGCAGAGCTGTCTGGCTCTCCAAGCAGCAGTGGTTTTCACTATCACAACCTCCCTCCCTCCTCCAGCCCTCCCTTCATCCGAATACTAAGCAGAGCTCCAAACTCTTCATAGTTGGAGTCCCAGAGAGCAGTTTTTATTGGCTTTAGCATCTTCCAGCTTGCCTGCTGAGGAGTAAATCTTAAAGTTAATGGCATGTTGAGTAGCACAAAAACACAGCAGAATGGAAATATACTGGGTTTGTTGGGGTGGGGTGAGGATGGGGGCTGTAATGGAGAGACAAACCAACCTTTATCCAATATGGAGAAAATGTCTGTCTGATCAGAAGAGGGACTGGAAAGGTGAAATGAGGAGACAGTCTTTGAAATAATATTTGTTTCCTTCCCCCCCCCTCAAGTCAACTATATCTTTATAGTTTTTCCCTTTCCAATCAAGCTCCCTAGAAGCTAATCAAGGTTTGTATCAAATCTTTGTCATCCTAATATGTCACCAGATTTAAAAATAGTAATAATGAAAAATTTTAAAGCATAGATAAGGAAATCCTTTGCCCATCTTAATGATCAATTCCTGTAATAATTTAAATTTTTAAAGTTAAAAAATTTAGAACCCACCAGAGGTAAAAGACAGTTGTGAAGAGCTGAGCTTCTTAAGAGATCCGGGTTTGGAGCACTTTATTTACTTCTTTATTTCAAATGAAGATAAACTTTAACAATATTCCTTGGTTTCTTCTCACGATCCCTTGCTGGTATCATCACTATGTTCTTGATGTTATTTGGACTCCCTTCTATTATAGCAAAGAAGTAGAATTATCATCATTTGCATCAGAAAGCCAGAGAAGGTTATATTATAGCTTTATCATATGTCTCATATATATACTACATACACTTCTGGCCAGAATTCCTAGGACAAGCAAAACTTCATTTTCTAAATAATTCTTCCCTTAAACTGTCTCAGTCAGTGGCAGGCAGGCCCGTTGGCTCCGGCATTCTTGGTGTCTCGTTGTCGCAGCTCACTCTTCAGAGCCTAAGCATATATGTTTTTCCCTATGAAACTTCCTGCCTCTCTATCCCTTGGATTTATACAGGCAAGGCTGGGCCACAATATCTCTAAGAGTGCCTGGAAGCTCCAGGGGAGCTGAATAAATGAAGCAGTCTCTGAGGTCTGGTTTATTCAGTCCTAGAAGAGTTTGAACTCCTCCTTCAGAGATACTGACTGATTTATTAGCTAATCCTGATAAAATAAGCCTCCGGCCACCTTAAAAAATTACTTGCTTGCCATTGGTGATTAATTACTGTTAAGTCAAAAAGCATGATGAGGCTTGAAGAATGAGGGTTGTATTTGGCTTCTAGATTTTCCCCAACTCTAAATTGACAACATGAGGCTAAGGATAGAAACATGCCTTTGTTAAGCCTGGTTTCAGGGCACATTTGTGGCTCTTTCTTTCCCCTTCTTGAATTTCTAACTTCTAATGAATCATATTGGGATAAAATTGAGAGACATGACAAGATACTGGGCTCCAGTGTGGATGGCATATGCATGTTATTGGCAAAGAAAGAAGAAAAGAAAAAGAAAGAAAGAAAGAAGAGAAGAGAAAAAATAAGTAAAAATTAAATTAAATGCATGAGATTTTAGTTGGGTATCCATTTGTTTGCCACCTGCCATTTCAGGTAACTAAAGAAGGAAGGAGTTCTAAGGGTTAATGGAATACCTGCCATGCGTAGAGTGAACCTTAAAAGGCAATTACTCCAGTCAAATTGGGAGTCTGTGGAGGAGGGAGTGGGTGGGTGTTGTGGAGCAAACCCAGCCATATCAGAGAAAGGCTGTTGGGCTGGGGAGGCAGCAAATAGCAGTTGTGCACTGGGGTAATTACTGTAAAGGTAAATCCACCCCCTGGAGACCAGAAAACACTTGGGCAGGGGTGGGGGAGATCTGGGTGCTAGGCAGAGAGAGAAAGGGAAAAAAAAAAAAAAACCAGAATTACAATTCAAAGAAATAACAGCCAAAGAAGAAAACCCAGTTCAATGCAAACTCTCCCGGCTAACTCAGAGTCTTCTTTTCTGCCCCCATTAGAAGCACTTTGAGAAAGATTGTTTTTTCCAGGCTCCAAAGGGAAAGACATTGTACTATTGATTAAAGAGAAGAGAGGCAAACTCCCCGGATAGCAGCACAAGTGAGCTGAGGACCAATTTTGCCCCTTCCTGTAGAATTTTTCTCCCTTGGGGTAGGGAAGAGGTCACCCACTAGTCTCATTCTTTCCTTCTCTCACTTTACATTTATTTCTCTTTTCTTCTTTTTATTTCCTGGAGAATAAACAGAAGCAGTGACTGAAAATACATACACACGCATTCCCATGCCTGCTAACACACACATATACGCAGTCAGTGGATCACACATGAACAAGCCAGCAATCCATTCATAACTTTGGTCTTGTCTAGCAGGAAAGGAGGCAGCAAAGACTGAGTTACTGGGAGACATAAAGACTAGTGCTCTCTGGATAGCCATATTATAATGCATTATATTTGAAGTCATTTAAGTCCAATTTAAGTGGTATTTAGTATAATATTTATGAATTAATGTAATCTAAACATAGGGCTGTCCCCAAAGGTTTAAACAGCCTTTACTACTGATGTGTGCTTGTTCCGGGATCCTGTGATGCATTTTAATCTAAACAGGCAAGTCCATATCACAGTCCCTCTTGTTAACCAGTCAGAACAGATCTGTGCCTGGGTAACCACTCTGCATTGAGATTTTCCCCCACTGCATGGAGCAAAATCTAGTTTACTGGCAGCCCCAGGGTGCTCCCAACCCAGGATCCAGAGCTGCAGGGACTTCAGCCCCTCACACTTCCACACTACATCCAGAGGGAGGGTGGGGACAGAGTAATAGAACCTTCTGTGGACTGAGCTCCGGAGAGTATATCATTTTAAAATATACTCATCACCAGATACACAACCTCTCATTTCAACGGTACCTGACTAGGAAGAACCTGAAGCCCCTTGATCTGGGGTGCAGCTTGAAGAAAGGAAAATGGCAAGTGTTATGATTGTTTTGGTGATTCTTGACCATCTTCATAAAACTGTGTCTTATATTTTCATTTAAGATGTAGCAATTCTCAGAACATTTAAGTTTCCACCACTTGACTTTAGCCGAGAGGGCTCCTTGTTTTTTTTTCCTTAGGTAGGTGAATCAAAGCCAGTGAGGCTCTATCTGATTTCTGTTTTCAAATGAGTCTAAGAGAGACAGTGAAGCTGAAGTATCATCATGGTCATCGGCTCAATTAAGATGAACTTTAAAAAAAATACTTTAAAAAATAAAAATTCAGTCTGTCCCGGGAAAGACGCTGGTGGAATGACTGGACACACACCTATAGTTTTTAAAAAGAAAGATTTGCCTTGTGAGAAAGAGGTATGGAAAATGAGATAAGAAAAACATTTTAAAAAACCATATTTCACTAAAGAAAATAAGCAATAGTAATCATTGCAAAACTAAAGTAAACCAAAGTAACAACCCCTATTAAAAAAAAAAAGAACAACAACAACAACTACCCAAATCCCAGATGTTTGTAAGTATTCTATTTAGGAGCAAAGAAAAACATTATTGAGAAATATTTGATTTATTGAAGAGCCTGGTGGTTATTTGCTGCTTGTGCATAATTTTGTTTATCTTTTGAAGAGACTCCCTCAGAATCAACACACAGATAAATTAATAAGCATATGTGCGTATATATGCATCCATGTACAAGCATGACTAAGCGCATCCCACACATATGGGAAGCAGGGCTGGCCTAGATTCCACTGCAATTCAACGGGGAGATGTTAACACTCTTTTCCCCCCTCAGCTTTAATGGGAATTCTAGATTGGGTTGAAAGAACCCCCTTGGCATACTTCCACTCTCTCCACCTGCTCCAGTTGGCTGGATGTTTGTGGCTTCTCAAACACAAAACAAAAGAAAACAAAAAGAAAGGCTTTTCTTGACTAAAGTCACAGCTTGAAAACAACCCAGAGGAACATAATTACAAAAAGGTATGCCACAGATATGAGCCCCCGTAAGGTAGGCATATTGTAAAGTTGTGAGAGTATTTTCAAAGAGCTGGTTCACAGCGGCACTCCTGATGCCCAATGATCGTGCCACACTCCAGGGACTTGAGTATGGCCACCATTCTCACTATTGTTAGCAGGATAATCCTCATTATTATTATTTATATACCAGGATGGGAGAGGGGCTTCTAAGTGATGCTGAGAAGATACCCAAGACACCATGTTCGTAACTGAGAAAACAGCTGGTCTCACTTGCCTCCGATGCTTTTGGGGAAAATGCAGCGCTGTTCACACCTCTCACGTCATCAGAAGGTGGTCTGTTTCCAAACTGACCCAGGAAGAATCTCTTCGAAGGGGACGTGCAATGGGCAGGCTATAGAAGACAGGGAGAAGTCATAGAAAATGAGGCCCAAAATCCTTGGCAGAGCAAAAGGGAAACTGAAAGTCATAGGGCCCAGACACTGGCCAGAAGCTGAGAGTGCTGGTTGACAGTGGCTGAAACGCAACGTTTCTGAACTTGGAAGGGAAATCCCATGTGACACGCAGAGAGAGCACTAGAGGGTGTGAAAATCTGTGTGCATCTGTGGGTCCCTGAGGGTTGAGGGAGGGAAGATACTGCAGCAGCCCGTGTGGGTGTTGGTGTGAGCATGTGTGTGTGACTTCTGTTTATATGTGTATGAATGTGTGTGTGTGTGCGTCCAGGAAAGAGATGATAAATGCAAATGGCACTGGAATGATGTTAGGGTTAGTTTTGTCTTGCAAGGCAGTATGCATGATCAGAGAGATGGCCGATGGAGAAAAGGAGAGAATGTGGGGAGAACACCGTCCTTGTGCTTTCATACGTGCTCCACCTCAGAACTCAGAGCTTGGATTTTATCAGTGATCTAAGTTACAGTGTGGAAGTGTGCTCTTGTTTATCTGCCTCATATTCCCACCCAAAAGTCCAGGTTTACAAGAAGATTCCATCTCCCCTCGGCTCCTCACCCTTCAGATGCCTGCCTGCTTCTCCTCACCTATTGACTCATTTTAGAAATGACCTTCCATCTGCGATCTGAGTAACCAGCTCTCTGCAGAGATAATTCCCTCCACTCACTGTATTTCCTATGCCACCCGCTGCCCCTTGGCATCCCAGCCCTACTTTTTTCTCTTGTAGTGTTTACACACACACACACACACACACACACACACACACACACACACACAGGACTTGATCAAGTCAGTCAAGCTAGCCCCTCCAAGCAGAGTGCTGCATTTCCCCTCCATGCAAGGAGGGTATGGCAGACACCAGGATGCCCTCCTTTTGGTTTCTCTACAACTAGGGAAGCACATTCATCCTCTCTACCTTTGCCTTCTTAAATACACAGACTCTCCAGGAATCACAAAAAGCATTGAATCCTACCCAAATAGCCTAGGAGAGAGGAACAGAGCCCCCCCAACTTAGTTGTAACCCTCTGGCCATCAGTCTTTGTCTCCCTCTTTTCCTTCTTCTCCTTGCTATTAAGACACCCTCACAAACTGCAAGGTGGAGCCTAAAGAGAAAGATCCATAATCCACCTGGCAATGTAGGGTGCAGTTCAAAATGCCAGGAAAAAAGGCAATGATAAGGGTAGAAATGATGACAGAGGAATTTTCAGAGTTGTTGTGCCTGCCCTAAGGGCTTCCTTGTTCCTACTGATCCTGTTCCCAGTGACCCCTGGATGGGTATAAAGACTGAGCCTCAGCCTTACAGGAACCAACTAGGAAGCCAGGTGGGCAGCCCCAGGGTAACTGTCCTGCTTTCCAAGTCCCTTTGGAAGTAGAAGGGGGTGTTTTCTGGACCATATGCTCACAGACCTTCTCCCCTTTTACTTGTTCCATATTTGGTTTCTCTTATCCTCCCTTGTATCTCCCCTCCAGCATTAACTGGCCGAAGCTCTCAAACTGAGCGATTCCCAGCAGCTCAGCTCAGGAACAAATCCTACGTGGCCATCTGCAAGATGTAAATAAATGGGTGCCCTCATGGAGACAGACGTAGTTCTGGTTCTGTGAGGACAGAACAGCCAAAAATATTGATCAAAGCTCAGGGGAAAAAAATTGATAATGAGCTGGCCTCCAACAAGAGTTTAATTGACAGAGACTTCCGAAGGCCGGCTCTGGACAGCGCATAAACTGACCGCAATGTTACTTTATTGCAATACACTCTGCTTTAATTAATTATCACCTTTGTTAAAAGCGGCTCCAGATCAAAGGTTTCTAGATACTTAACAGATCTTACTAACAAAGCCCCCCATGAATTAGGCTATCCCACAGCTCACCAGTGAGGCTAGTGAGTTTCCTTCCCATTTTCTTCCTTCTTAGCTGTTGCCTTCTTCTTCTTTGTTAAAATAAATGGTTCTTGCTGCACAGCCTCTCTGTCCTAGGACAGAAATTTTGAGGGGTGTTGTCTGCAGAGGGCAGGGGGCTGCCATTCTTCAGCTGTTCCTAAAATCACACAACTAAGACTAGATTCACCTTCAAATCTATCTGGCTGAAATGGGGAGAGTCAACAGAAGAAAAAAGAATTCATGGGAAATGCAAAAGGTGTGTGTGTGTGTGTGTGTGTGTGTGTGCATGTCCATGCACGCACGTGCACAAGCGACGATGTGCACATCCACATAAATATTACAGGATCGATGCATTTCACATCCGCTGCTCACACCTCTTAACTTCTCCCTCCTGTCTCTTGAGCACCTGTGCTACTGTCGTATTTCACTCTGAGAAATGCTCGCAGCTGAAGCGTGCATAGATGATGCTGTATCGAACCAGCCATTGTTTGGATTCGGTTGTGGAGTCCGGGTGTCTGTTGAAGGATTGTCCTTGCCTGGAGTAGGTGGTGCCTAAAGAATTCACTTCTCAAGATAGGACAGGAACCTGACTCTCCAGAGTCCCCCAAACCTACAGACTGACAGGTGACTTACTTGAAAGCAACCCTTGGAGTCGTTCTAGGCAAATTTGAATGCCATACGTGGCTGTTTGTTCATTATTCTAATTTAATGATGCAGTCACACCTAATTAATCCATGTCTGGTTTATTCATACACTATGTCTGAGGATCCAAAAGATCTCTCTAGCTAGCCAGCTTCCCTTACAGGGGCACATGAGGGGCTCCCCTGACAAGTGAGTGTGTCGGGGTCCAAACAGGAACAGATCACTGTAGACTGATCCGATAGAGACACTGTCCCTGACACCACTGTCCATGCAGCAATCACAGAGAGATGTAGCAATGAGATCTGTGTGCCTGTCGTGACACACATGAGCACACAAAGTGTGCATTCTACCACAGAACCCTTCCAATAGGCAGCAGGCCACACCCCCCAGTGAGTAATAAATAACAAGGTGTGTCAAGCATTCCTTTGACCAGGAGTTTCAATGCGGAAGGTTGAGAGGCTGAGCTGAGTCAAACTCCTCTCTCTGCCCTTAAGAAAGTGAAGCCTCGATCCATTGCTGCCACTGCTCAGATAAAGAGACTGAGGCTGGAAGCAGCATGTCCCTAAAGTCAAGCCCGCAGCAAGGCCTTCAGCACCCCTCCCCGTGGCTGGTTCTGGCCAGACTGCTTCCAGTGAGTGTTGCCTCTTGCCTGGCAGGTACACTGAGAGAACGAGGCATCAACCTAATAATATCCTTATAAAGCCAAGCCTCCTGCGCAAGTCCTAGGAGACAAGAGGCATCCAAAGATCAAACACTACATCACAGTGTATTTGTAGGAACTCTCTGATTCTGCTACCTCCCTATAATGCTCTAATTGACTATTTGATCAGCGCTCAAAGGGCTAGTGTTCAAGACAGACTTACTCACACATTCATATACACACTCACATGCATATTCACACACACATGTGTATGCACACATGTGTACACTAATCACACAAGCACATGCATGTAGACTTTTTCTTATACACACTGCCGTGCCCATAGCAGCTCATCTGACAAGGGTAGATTCTCACAGGAGATGCTTGAAGGTGAGTGAAAAGCACACACCTAAGATTGTACATGCCCTTCCAGTAATGGGCTTATCAATAGCTCTTAAAGAAATGTGACAGCCAGCCCAGAGTGATTCAGTTGTGTGGACAAAGGTCAGCATATAGATATCCATTATTAATAATATCAATATCTTGGTTGACCAATATAACCAGAAACTGTATCATGTCGCTGCTGATGGGTGAGGCTGGGAGGGCTCCGCGGCAGCAGCAGGAAATTATACCCATGTAAAATTAATCATATTGACTGGTTCTAAGAATATACAGAGAGGCGAAGATGTTGGTAGTGCTTGCCATGGTGGGAGAGGGGGACCTTGTTCTCAGAGGCTTCATGGTCTTGAACTCCTGGAAGGAGCCCAGTGGGAATGGAGGTGTCCCTGGGTGACCCATGAGAACACTCTCCCTCATCTGGCCTCTGCTTTCCAGTGGGGTGAGGCGGAGGAGAGGTGTTCTCTGAACAGGAAAAGAAAGAAATAGGATCCCCTAACCATTATCCACCCAACATATCCGTATCTTTCTGTCAAATCAATACTTGGCTTGGCTTTGTCTCACCGGATGAGGCACAGAGAGCATCCTTGCACCCGCTGTGTGAAGAGGTCTATCTCCAAGGGGGTGTCATGAGCCTGAAGCAATATCCCCAGTTATGTGGTGGGATACTGGCCCCAGGAGTCGCCAGTGTGCACTATGCAACTTAGAGGTTCCAGGAAAAAAGGTGCCCAAACAAATCAGTCACCAGAATTGTGTTCTTGAGAGCAGCAGATCCAGGGGCTCAGAGTCTGGTGGGGTCAAGAATGTTCTGAACATCAGAAAGCCATTGCTCCCTAAAGCTCACCTCCAGTCACAGTGCGTGGGAAAGCAGTGGGAAGCCATTGCATCCTTGGCCTTGGGATTCCCTTCAGGCATGCCCCTGACCCCTCACCCCCTTGCCTGCCAGAGCCCCAGCCCTGGGGGTTCTTGATCTACGTTGGCAGCCCTTGGCAACATGTGAAAGGGAGGAGAGGGAAGGAGAGAATCACGGTGGCCGGGGGGGGGGGGGGGGGGGGGGGGGGGGGGGCAGGGGCAGGGGGAGGACTCAGAGAGGAAGAGAGGGAACAGGGCTAGTAGGGAAAGCCTGATTAGCTTTTGGGTCATTACTCTTCTCTGTTCCCAGAGCCTGTGGAGGCAGCTGGAAGGGAGCCTGCCTTAGAGGCCAGGCCTCATGGTTGGTTAGTGATAGATGATAGAAGATGGACCTTGAAAGCACAGAGGAGATGGCTTTGACTTTAAAGGAAGGTAAAGAAGTGGTTTCCTTGGCTGGAATGGGAGATGGAGGTTCTAAGGACTGGATACACCCCTTCCCACAGGAAGATTTGGGGCCTCAGACAAGCCACATCTATCCTCCTCTGACCTGCCTCCTTTTCCCTAGCTGCAGACACACTCAGACTTCTGCCCAGGTGCTTACACCCAGCCCTCGGGACACGGGCTTTGCCTGGTCTCTGTGCTCCCTCCCCATGCTGATGGCCCAGCCTTCCTAGGAGAAGCACAGCCCCCAGACCACCCAGGATGGCTCCCAGATATCTGGACTTGTTCCCAATGCGGCCCAGACTGGGTGCAGCTGCAGCAGGAGGGAGTGTGGTGAGGAGGGGTCCTGGAGCCCAAGGTCGTCCTCTGTCCACAGTGCCGCATCCCCTCCGGACCCAAGACCTGGATCTAAGGAGCTCTAGAAGAACAGCCAAGAGCCCAGAAGCCATGCCCCTCCTCTAGACCCTTCCCCTACCTACTTCGGGAAGGCTCCCCTCTCCACCAGCGGTCGCCTGCCATCTGACGGTGAGAGGGAGAACTTCCTGCTGTCGAGCACGTGGGGAGGGGGGTGGGCCTGACAAGGAAGTGGCTGCTCCTGTCACTGTTGGGTTCCCCATGAAGGAGCTGCTGGGCAAACCCCTCCCCCTGTCCCTCTCCTTACACCTCACTGGGTGAGTGTGGGCCACTCCTCTTATGCAGGGGAGCCCCCTTCTCCAATGGGCGGTGCAGGACCCCAGGCCTGGGCCTGGGCCTGGGGCAGCAGCAAAACAGAGCCACCCAAAACAAGAGAGGAGAATCAGAAAACCCAGAAAGTATTGTAGTTTCAACATGGATGCGACGTTTGCTCCACTTCAAAAATAAATACTTAGTCTACTGTTTAGTATGGGTTTTATTCTTAATTCCATCTGTTGGGCTCCAGAACCTTTTCCATACTTAGGACTGTAACAGGTCCAAATCCAAATGCCCTGACAGGACACATACACACAGGCATACACCAGCCACCCTGTGCCTATGAAACAGACCCAGGCAGAGGACTTATCAACTAGGGTCCGTTGGCCCATGGGCCACCCAGGTCCAGCTGAGGCTGGGACCTCAGTCACATTGGTCACGAGAGTGAGATACAGAGCAGAACAGAGGTACTGACTTATGTCCATACGTCATTTTTTTTCCAATTAAAAAAATCTTTTTATTGAAAAATAAGACCTTCTTTATGCTTGTCTTAATTATTTCAATAATTAAACTATTAGATTTATTTTAGAGTAAATTTTATTTTAGAGTCAATTCTGTTGTCATTGTGTTGAGCAAGTTTGAAAATCCACTGGAAAGAGAAGGAAAGGATAAGGCCCAGGACTGGGCAGCTGAGTGGGTCCCTAAAGAGAGGAGGGGCCAGTGAATTATAGGGAGGTATCTCAGTGTAGGGAGAGCATGCCCTTAGGCTACAATGAGTGGTCACTTGGCAGACAGCGTTTTGATGGCAGATAGCAGAGAGGGGAGGGGAGGGGAGCATGGCTGAGCAGGGCCCCAGGCCACACCCAAGCGCCTGGCTGGGCAGCCAGACTCTTACTCCTTTTGGTGTGAGACCCCTGTCTGCCCCTCACATTGTCCCCCAATGCCTTAGTTTGTTTCTCCTTAGTTTCTCAAGTTTCTCTGCAAAGCACTCATTAACCCTGAACCTTCTGAACTGTCTCACCTTAGCTGATGCTTAAAAGTCTGGCCCACAGCTGTAGCCACATAGCAAAGAAGAGAGGGTCCCTGAAGCCAGCTAGGGCAGGAGGAGGAGCCTGCTGGGGCAAGAGCATGGTGTCATCCACCTAACTGCAATTGGCCTCTGAGAACCCCCCAGACATCTCCCCACGGGGCAGAGGCAGTCTTCTGTAATGTGGAGAGCATGCAAGACACACCATGTCCCCACTGGCAAGCCCTGGGTCTCATGGAGCAGAAACAGGGCTCCCTCAAGGAGGCACAGATTAACATGCAACTCAGGGACTCTGAAAGTAGAACCCTCTCCTTGGAAGGTAGGGACCCACCCTCACCACCACCAAATAACCAGGTGTGACAGAGGATGGCAAATCTGCAAATATGAAAGTATCCAATACAAATGTCCTGTGCATCGAATGAAGAAACCCCCCTCCCCCCAAAAAAGAAGTAATCAGATAAGAGTACAGGCTTCCTGCCCAGGGGAGCTTGGCCCTGGGCCCCCAGGTGGCGAGGGGATGGAAGAAACCAAGGCTGGCACACGGGAACAAGACAGAAAGGGGAGGCTGGCTTATGGACGGGCCCCACTGCTTTGCTTCGTTTCATTCCATGACATTTTGTTTCTGTCCCACTGCAGCAAAGTCTCATTCTCAGGCAAGTGGACAAAGGACTTTCTCACTTTGAATAAGTCTGGACCCACCACCAGTCTGGCTGAGGGAGAAGCAGTGGGGATCAGGAGTAGATGAAGAGGTTACAGTCTGTCCCAGGGAGTTAGGGACACACACAGAAGGGCTGGCCTCACCCGCTCTGGGGCTGCAGTGCCCTTCAGCTGTCCCAACAGCAGCCCACTCGGGCTGAGAAATTACTCGCAGAATATTTAAACCTGTGGCTATGTTCCCCGTCACCAAGGCAAGCATCCAGATTGTCCCCCAGGCTCACTCGGCTGAATGTCCCAGAGATAAACTCTGGGGTTCTGGAGGGCAGAGTGTTCTCCTGCCCTCCACCCTTCCTCTGTGCCCACCCTCAGCTCCAGAATGGCTACAGGCAGCCAGACAGCCGGGGATGAGGCCAGAGGGCAATGTGTCCTGGGGTGACCATGGTCTCGTAGATGGAAGCATCTTGGTAGATCCCAGGAAGAACTGCTTCCAGTATGGGCAACAGTTCCAGGAGCTTGGGGCAGTCCATTTGCTGCAGGGGAGCAATCAAGGGGCCCCTCCATTCCTCGGAGAGAAACCCAGCCCAGAGGAGCAGGAATCATAAGGTGACTTTTGGGGCCCCAAACACAGGACTCTTGTAGCCTACTTTTTAGGGGAGGCAAACTCTCCTCTAATAGGCCTTCCACAGACCTTGACTCCTGGCATCTTCCTGACTCTAGGGGGTGGGTGCTCTCAGACGGAGAGCAGAACTGGACTTGGTCATGGGGCTCTGCTCCTGGCGGGGATGTGGAAGCCTCCTCTACCCTCTCCTCCAGGCCACGCACCCCAAGCCCCAGTGCTCCCAGGCCTCCCCACCTTCCCGGGACAAGGGCTCCCAACCCAAAGTGACCTCCTTTTCCTATCCTTTCAAAGTCCTGCCCCTGCTGATCTGACAAATCAAACTGGGCAGATGTGTCCCTGGCGGCTAATGGACATTAATGTGTTACCATCTCTGGTGACATGTGCCTCGTACAGGGACCTTTTAGAGCCTGGGCTGTAACCATAAGAAACATCTCTAATGGGGGGACCTGTTCACCGGCCCGGCTAGAGGAAGTCACTGTGAGGCCGGCAGGTCCCTGGCTACTCAGAAAGATACGGGTCTGCCTGGCCAGGGATGCTGCAGGGCCAGAGGGACCCAGGCAGCCGAAGGGGTGATCCCCCAGCTCATTCCCTACCCAGAGGCTGCCTCGCCAAAGGTCTAATCAAATATTAAACATGGTCCGTAAACTTAAACCGGTGTCATACCTGCGTGTGAGGCTCTCCCAGAGAACAGCCCAGGTCGGGGACATTTCCAGCTAGACTTGCCTGGGTGCTGGGGTGGGGACGTTTTCACTCATGCCCCATTGGAGGCAGGAAAAAAGGAAGACAGACCGGGACCATGGCAGGGAGTAAGGCTCATGGCTTTCCTCCTCCCTTCTGTTATTCATTTCCTCTGATTTTTATCTAATCTCTCCTGATTGTTCTGGTGAAACTTAATAGACAAAGTGAATTTTTATTACATCATCAATATAATCTCCAGCTAATCAGCAGACACGGGGGCCACTGCGAGCCCTATAGCTCCTCATCTGGCTTCGCAAATAGTAAGAGAACAATCACCGCCGAGCACTACTCACCCACCTCCTCCCGAGAGGACCCTCTCCCTGCTGCCCCCTTTCCCCAGACCTATTCCTGGAGTATCTGCCTTCCCAGGGACCCCCTGCCCCCACCCAGTGGGTCCCGTTGCTGGTCCATGGAGATTTCTTCCCCCTTCCTACTTTTCATTTTCTCCCTCTCAGCTTTAGTGGTTATAATCACAAATCTAGGGCTGGTGTTTCGGATGCCAAAATAGCCTAATGTCAATGGATTCTGATCCTACTTTTCTCCGTGTGAGGAATATGATATGTCATAAGATATTATGTAATCCCATTGGATCACGGCACATACTATCAAACAAATTAAGTCGTATGTTACACCATACCTAGGTAACCTAGGTGTCAACATCTTTGGGCCATTTAAAGTCAAATCATGAATCTTATACACTGTATCATAGATGCTAAATTATATATTTCATTTATAGTATAGTATGCCTTCCATTTATATAGCATTTAACCGGTAAAATGCCTTCTTTTATATTACCACTTTTTTATCCCTATTGCAACCAGGTATAGTTGATACCTTTTTTATAAAGAAAAATGGAAAAGGGATCATGAAGGAAAATTACAATCTGGTCAAATCCTGCCGGGATACAGCCGAGCCGCTTAGGCTCAGAACCGGTGCTGGCAAGCCAGGGAAAGGGGGCATAGGAGAATCAGAGGGGGCAGAGACCTGGCTGCACACCAGCTAGGCAGAAGGCAGGTTCCTGAGGCCTGGCCTGCCGGGCAGCTCTGGGCTAAAAGGCAAGCATAATTTTAGAAATGATTTGTTTGGGGCTCTTCCCCGACAGACCCACCCAAAGTTAAATGTGAAACTGAGTGCATCACCGTCTGAGACATCGCCTTGAGATACTGGGCTCGTTCAGTAGCTTAAGACCATGTTTTCCCTTAGCCTTCAGGGAGCCAGGCCACACTGCTCTATAGTGGTGTTGATTTCGGAAACCAGCAAATATCCCTTAGAGTCAAAGTCTTGTGAATAAGGTGGGTGATGAGGCTAGGAATCTGGCTTTTGGGCATCCACTCCATTGGCTTTCGGGGGAAAAGAAATCTGCTCCTTGCAAGCAGATCAGAGCCAGCTGTGGGAATGCCCAGCCGCCATTCACGAAGTCAGACCTGAAGTTTCTGTGCGAAGGGCTGATTCCGCACATCTATTCAGAGGAAGGTCTGCATGCATCTAGGGGTCGTGGGCGGGCCTCTCTGCTTTTGGCTGACAGTTCAAGAGAGGCCTCCGTCTTCACAGGGATCGCTGGAAGCAGCAGTTTTTAGTGCTCCGGACACTGCCGGCTGCAGAGGTGGCTGGTGCGCCTCGGATGTGCTGCACCCAGGAGCTGGACCCCTGGGTCCCTGCCCCACCCTGCCGCCTCACTCAGAGTATCAGCCTCCTCTTCTCTTAAATCATTTCAATGACACCCGCTCGTCCCACCTCCTAGGGCCAGAGTGTGGATGGAAGGAGCTGAGATGAGGAAAAATGTGGTGAAAAAGTTAAAAATCTCTGGGGTCATTGTCATGTGTTAAGTGCCAGCACCCCCATCAGACCACAGGGAGCTCTGACAGTCCTGCTGTCTTGGAAATAGGACGACAGGATGACATCAGGGCTCAAGGGTGGACGGGAGGGAGTACGGACCAAGCACCTACTACACGGCACACACACAGGGCTCTCGCTTATTTTATCTCATCAGATCCTCGTGACAAAACTGTGACAGAGATGTCACTGTGTCCGTTTGAATGCCAAGGGAACGGAAGCTCTAAGGGCAGTAACTCAACCCAGGTTATGTGCCAGGG